ACATTGAAAGTAAACCTTAAATTGTAACAAACTGAATTAGGATTTTCCCTGAAGGATGGTTGTGAATATAACCATTAAGATGAGTAACCAATCTGATTTCCTGCTAAAGCTATAAAATAAATCTTGCTCTGGAGGAATGCTCTCTTTTTGCCACTGAACAGAATGGCAGCTTGCACCTTATTTCTTATCTATAAAAGACACCATAAAGCACCGATGAGAAATACCTGGGTTGGATTCAGCAAAATAGGAGATAGCAGAGCTTTATCTACCAGTAGGAAATTTGGGGCCAGTGAACTAAAATCTATGGGCTCAATGGGGAAGGAACTTTGCCAGTTTCTGAGCTTTGCGGTTTCTGAGCAGGAGGCTAGAAAGAAAGCAAAGGGGGAACTACTGAAACCAATGAGTAAAATGACCTCCTCCCCCACTGATTCCCTGCAGGAACGCTATGAATGGACATTTTTTCTCCATGTCGGTACTTGGGGAATCTGACTGAATCCTTTTAAAGCTTTCTTTGTATAAGGAAACACAAAATTAGTGAGCTTATATGCATTAAGTAGGTACAGGCAGACTTCAGGTTTATAGGATCTACTTAATTTTTTTTATTTGAATACCAAGATAGTAGAAAACCGTAGCTTAATAGATGGGAATAATTAAGTATTAAATCTTCTAAATCAGCAGCACCTGGGGTGAGCATCGTGCCCAGTTGTGTCTATGATGTCAAAGATATGCAAATTGGATGGGTTTCAATCAGAATAGAGCTGGAAGGGACCTTGGAGGCTTCTAGTCCAACCCCCTGCTCAAGCAGGAGAATCTATACCAGGGGTCTTCAAACTTGGCCCTTTTATGACTTGTGGACTTCAACTCCCAGAATTCCTCAGCCAGGCAGACCCCTGATCTATACTATTTCAGACAGGATGCTGTCCAGTCTCTTCTTAAAAATCTCCAGTGATGAAGTACCTACAGCCTCTGGTGGCAAGCTATTCCACTGGTTAATTTTTCTCGCTGTTAGGAAATTTCTCCTTAATTCCAGGTTGCTTCTCTTCTTGATTAGTTTCCATCCATTGTTTCCTGTTCTTGCCTTCTGGTACTTTGGAAAATAAGTTGGAATACTGCTATCATGTCTTTTCTCTAGACAAGCCAAACCCAATTCCTGAAATAGTTCATATTTCAAAATTTGCGCTGCTACACCATATAGTGTATCTGTCTTTTTATAGATTTTGACAAACATGCATATGTATGATGCTGCTCTTCTAAATCAGATTCCAGAATGAGCTAGATATATAAGTTCAAACATACATCTGAACTACTAAACTTAAGAATTTGCAAACAATTAGTTTGGCATAAGAGCATTTTAGTCTCACCATGTCAATGATCAGGAGTTAAAAGTGGAATTGTAACAACTAGCAACAGATTAGTTAAATTACTTTCTGTTCATTCCTTCTTAAGGAGGAATGCTTAAAACCAGAAGCTGCCCTCTGAAAACTGTTTCTAAATCTAGGGCAGAGTTTCTTAAACTGGGAGTGATGCAGCAATTTGCAAATGCTTATTTGAGAGTCGAGGATACAGTTTGGGACAGCCACAGCTGGGAAGCCTCTATAAACAACAGAGTCTGGAGGGTGTTTTTGTGAGACTAATGAGATTCTTCGAGGCCAAGAAATGGAGTAATTGGATGAAACAGTTTAAGAACCACTGATTGGGGGGGAATGCTAGAAGACAGAACTCCCTGTGCCACTGTCTTGCACCTGCTAAATAAATTGCCTGCTCTCTGCTGCATTGACAGGAGAGGAGAAGAATTATCATCTTGTACTTTGCATCAAACAACAAACTATCTTGAATCATCTCTGGTTGGAGATGAAGGCATGTGCTATGGCCAGAAGGCCAGATCTTAGTAGATTTTGAACTAGACATGTGACTGTTGCCAGTTCTAAATTCAGCCTGCAAGCAACAACTGTTCTCCCAAAAAATATAATATGAAGAAGGAATCTGATTTCACCACGATGTAAAAAAGATGTTGAGAGTCTAGAAAGAGTACAGAGAAGAGCAACAAAGATGATCAGGGGACTGGAGGCTAAAACATATAAGGAACGGTTGCTGGAATTGGATATGTCTAGTTTAATGAAGAGAAGGACGAGGGGGGCATGATAGCAGTGTTCCAATATCTCAGGGGCTGCCACAAAGAAGAGGGAGTCAAGCTATTCTCCAAAGCGCCTGAAGGCAGGACAAGAAGCAATGGGTGGAAACTAATCAAGGAGAGAAGCAACCTAGAACTAAGGAGAAACTTCCTGACAGTTAGAACAATTAACCAGTGGAACAGCCTGCCTCCAGAAGCGGTGAATGCTCCAACACTGGAAGTTTTTAAGAAGAGACTGGACAGCCATTTGTCTGAAATGGTATAGGGTTTCCTGCCTGAGCAGGGGGTTAGTCTAGAAGACCTCAAAGATCCCTTCCAACTCTATTATTGTTATTGTTAAACTGAGAAGCACAAGGAAGGAGCCATCAACTACTTATGCAGACACACCTTCCTTTAAGACAAGTATTGGGAGTTGGGTTTCAAGATTGTATACTTTTCTAAGAAAACAAAATACAAATTAAGCATTTTAATTAATTTTAATTAGTTAAGTGAATCTGGCTTCTCCCATTGACTTTGCTTGTTGGAAGCCAGCTGGGAGGGTTGCAAATGGTGACCACGTGACCCTGCCCAGGATTATGACAACCATGGCAGCATGTTGGAGAGAATAGCAAAACAAGGATTTCATTACTGCTCCTCTGATCTCTCCAAGCTCCATTGCAATTGTGATGTTTGATGATGATCTGAAGCAAGGATTATACTGCCTCCTCTGTTGACTCCTTTTTTTTGGTGGGGCTGATGGCACGATGGTGGAGCTGTCAACATCCTTTACTCTCTTCTGTGTTTTGGGCAATAGAAAACAGCACAGTAAGATTGTATGCAGATAATCACCAACTTAATGGCCACAAGCGAGCCCAATATTTCCATTGCTAAACAAAGCAGTTGTGAGTTGTGCCTCATTTTACGGCATTTTTTGCCACCATTGTTAAGTGAATCACTGCAGTTGTTATGCAAATCATGCAGTCGTTAAGTGAATCTAGCTTCCCCCATTGACTTTGCTTGTCAGAATCCAGCTGGGAAGATTTCAAATGGTGATCACGTGACTCTGGAACATTGCAACTATCTTAAATGCCTGCCAGTTGCCAAGAGCCCGAATTTTGACCATGTGACCATGGGGATGCTGTAACAAGTGTAACTGGGAAAACCGGTCATAGGTCACATTTTTCAGTACTGTTGTAACTTCAAACAGTCACTAAATGAATGGTTGTAAGTCGAGGACTATCCGTATTGACACCAAGAATAAACTAAGTTCAGCATCATAGATACAGAGGTAAAAAAAATGGAATTGCCTGGCCATTCCAGTAGTATCACTGGTAAAAAATATTCTGTTTCAAGAAATAGCCTCGTGCATGGACTTTACAGATACAGCTATAATTGGAAAAGGACATTTGACATTTGACAATTTTGTTTTTTTACTAGTTCCTTCTTATCAGCAGCTTGCAAATTAAGATCCTGTTTGGAGAAAACTTTATATATGTGTGTGTGTGTGTGTGTGTGTGTGTGTGTGTGTGTGTGTGTAAAGTTTTCTCCAAACAGAATCTTAATTTGCAAGCTGCTGATAAGAAGGAACTAGTAAAATAACAAAATTGTCAAATGTCAAATGTCCTTTTCCAATTATAGCTGTGTGTGTATATATATATATATATATATACATATATATATATATATATATATATATATATATATATATATATATATATCACATATTCATCCAATCTCAAACAAGTGTCTAAACCAACATTAAAGAAAACAAATTCTGTTTTTTTCATTTTGTTTTTTTTAATGTTGGTTTTGTTGTCTCTGTGTATTTCTTTTCCACTTTTTACATTTCTTTCTATCAAACGTTTAAGATAAATGTTTAAAATAACCTTTAAAACAAAAAAATGGAAGGAAAATAATCAAGATAATGTTTGAAATTCCATCTCATAAAAAAGAAAAGGTTTTAGTAGTTTCAAACTAGTTCCTCTTCAGTTTATTTTAGGAGGCAGGGTAGCCTCCTTACTCAACTACATGGCCTGCTAAACACAGGGATTGTTGCTTAAGATGGTTTGAAAACGGCTGGAGGAGAATGTAGTTCTGTGTATTCTCAGCCTATGTATTTTGTGCCCAGTTTTGTCACTGTCCAACTAATAGAAATAGTGCTTTCATCATGTGTCAGTTCTACAGAAAAATATGATACCTGAAGCCCCCTTTTTAGGCATAACCTTCAGCCTTCATATTTTAGCAAAAAGATCTCTGCCTATAGGATTTAAATGTCGGGACAATACTGCAAAGCTAAGTATGCAAGATCTAAGTAAACAAACACAATGAACCTGCCATTTCAACTAAAGCTGGTTTGGGATGTATTTCTATCAACTCCTCCTTGAAACCCTTAGCACTAAACTTTGCATGTGTGGAACTGTTTCCATCAAGTTCTTTCTACAATGTGACAACAATGAGCCAGGGAAACAGGGGTTAATTTGTTCCTCCCCATTTCCCCAAACTGTTTAGATCAGGGGTGTCAAACTTGCAACATCAGGACCTATTGCAACTTTTTTGCCATTGCCAGGAATGGGGTGGGCAGTTTTGCTATGATGCGTCTGGCCCGCGGGCCGGCAGTTTGACACCCCTGGTTTAGATCATTGTGATCAGACTGCTGGGAACTTTTCAAGCTACCTTTACAAGATATGTTACTATGTGTGTGTGCTAACCTCTTTGTGCAATAAGGAAGGAGATGCTTCAAATGGGCCAATGCTGGTGTTGAAAGTGTCTTCATCAGCCCATGGGGGGGGGGAATTGAGACATTTCCTGATATTGTTACAGTGCAATTTGTAAACTTCTGGTTGAGAAGAGAAATAGAGTAATCTGGAAAGAGATCTCCATTCCATAAGACTATATCATCACTGCTGCTTCTGGCAAAATTGCATGCTAGTAGAATTGGATGGGACTTTATGAATAAATATTAGGAAGAGTGTTGAAGGAGATATGAAACTAGAACCAGAAAGAATAAAAGAATATAGGTAAATCTTCTGATTTGGGTATAAGTCTTCAATCAGGATCGTTCATTCTGACTTCCAGGCAAAAGCATTGTTTTTCATTGTTCTAGCTATAATCTATTTAATTATTATTTTTTCTATCCAGATAATCAGCTGGGTTTAGGAACTTACAAGAATTTTTGTCTGTCAATAAGTTGTGAAGTTGCCATGTCAGAAACTGGAGTCCTTCTGCAGAGATTCCTCCAGGGACATCCCACAGTATTTGGGGTAAGCACTAGGCATGGGACTTTTAGAAGTTCAAGGACACACAAGTTGTTCCTTATCAGTATTGTATGTTCTAGTCCAAATTTCCTGGGTGCAGCTAATGCAAAGCAGTGTCCTTGGTGAATGGCCTTAGTAGACTATTTCCTTTACCTGTCAGTGAGCATCCCACTCCCTATCCATCTTCTAGTATAAGTTGTCATCCTTCCCCATGTTTTCTCAATACTTGGAAAATTTAAAAAAAAAATTGCTTTGCAGGCACTCCTGTTGATGATTGGGCTCTTCCAATCAGCCTTTGGAGTCATCTTATTCCTGTCCCCTTGTGCTTATAGAGATGAGCTGGGCACGCATTTCAGTTCAGCTGCAGTGGTGAGTCACCAGCATCTGCTTCTCCTGCTCTTTACTGCCTCTGAATCAGCAACAATGCTGTAATTCTCCATGACCTTACCTTAACAATTTCATCTTTCAAACCCCACAAAGCTGCCAAAACAGCCAGTCAGCCAGTCAGTCAATCAGTCAGTCAGTCAGTATCTATCTATCTATCTATCTATCTATCTATCTATCTATCTATCTATCTATCTATCTATCTATCTATCTATCTATCTATCTATCTATCTATCTATCTATCTATCTATCTATCTGCTCTAGGAAGCGAGCAATGGCAAACCATTTCTGAAAAAGCTTGCCAGGAAAACTGCAGGGATTTGTTCAAGCAGTTAGCAGGAATCAAACACTGACTCAACGGCATGCACACATGTGCATACACACACACACACACACACACACAAACTGGCAAAACCAAAATAGACACAGATTTCAGTGAAGGCTCTTTAATGCAACAACCTTGGGTATGATGACTTTAAGGTAGCATCTTTTTCTAAGGTTTTCCTCACCAACCTCCCGGGCCTGGGAACCATGCACAAAGCTTCATTTGTGTATGCATTGGATTTAGGTTGTGCACGGAACCATCGCACCACCACCACCACCACCAAAACCAGCAAAGCCGCCGCAACCACTGCCATCCGTCCACAGAACCAAAAAGGTGGGGGACCCCTGATGTAAAACACAGGCACCACATTTCAGTTTATGAGAGTAGAGGCAGACAGCTGGTGTCTTGCAGTCCAAACAGGCGGGTTCTCAATTCATTCTTCTCCACCATAAGATTTGCAAGGCAAAAGGCTCCACTTTCAATCCTGCTGCCCCAAGGAAACAGATCAGGTAGCAGATGATGAGGAAAGACTCCTGAGACTTTGGCAAGCAAGCAGAGGGGATAAAGGTTGAGATAGTTGTCCATCAATACTATAGAGATGTATCTTTTGTTTCTTTAAATCTCACCTCATTTAATTACTATTAGCAATGTTATATTTTGGGGTGTACTTCACTATATCTTCTAGCTGTTATACTTAATCAATAAAATATGTAAATGTGAACCACAACTAGGATTAATAATGTTATCTACCACTCTTCCTTGTCAAGGAGCATGGCGTAGTTTGCATATAAATAAAGCCAGTAACTAATTGTAACAGTGAAATGTCAGGCTGTTCAGGAATGAAGAACAGCTGTCTGGTTTTATGTGCTCACCCCTGAACTGCCAAAAGCTTGACACTTTTCAACTGCTTACCTCCATGTGGGAGGGGACTCCAACTCCCAGGGTGCTGTTTTTACTTCCTAAATCCTTGGATTTACTTTCCAAACAGTGTGTCACTGTTCTTCCTGCCAGGAGCCTGAACATTCTGAGACCATGACAAGAACCAGCCAGCTCAGCCTTCCTTCCAGCTCACTAACAGGGTGACAATTGCAAAAATTTGCTTCCATGTCTCATGTTCTGGTAAAAAAAAAAAAACTCAAGATGGCAACTTGCCAGGGCAGATCTTTGATTCAGTGTTGTAAACCCCACCCCTCTTGACTTTGTTTACCAGATTCTGCATATACCTGATTCATCAATACTATGCTCAGAGCCCTGTCCCTACTTGAGGTTTCTCTTATTTCTTTCAGGATTATTATTTTTTTAAAGTGAACATACCCAGGAATTGGGAGGAGTGGTAAGGAGACAATTCTTGCCCATGTGTCCTGCCATCCCCCCAAACTCCAGTATTCCACTTCATCTGCATTTTTTCTTCTTCTTTGTAAGTCCTAGAAAGTGTTGGGAAATTGTCACTCGGACTGTCCAGCCATATAAATGTGTGGTAAAAAGATTTTTTTATTATAATTTTGTTCAATCATGTCTGATTCTGAAAGACCAGCTGGACAAGTTCCTCCGGTTTTCTTGCTGACTGTTTTTTTCAGAAGTTGTTTGCCATTGCCTCCTTCCTAGAGCTGAGAGTGAGTGACCCAAAGTCAATCAGTTTATCTTCATACCCTAGGTGGGAGTAGAACTCACAATCTCCCAGGTTCTAGCCCAGGGGTTCCCAACCAGGGGTGTGAGATGATATTCCAGGGGGTGCGAAAACTTGGGTTTTCAAAATTATAGTGTATATGCATAATTCGTTGCCATTATTTTAAACTTTTGTAAGGGGTGTGAGAATATATCAGAAGCGTTCTACAGGTGCGGGGTATAGAAAAGATTGGGAACCACTGTTCTAGCCTGATGCCTTAATCATTATATCAAACTGGGTCTCATAGTAAGAAGATACAGGTAGATGTTTTCATTTAGATCTTTGAAGTGAGGTAGCAACTTGTCAGCTTTTCTGGAGTCAGTGTGGGATTTTGCATAGGGATCTTGAATCAATCACATTATTATACTTTTCATTCTTTGTTTCCAGCTGATTCTGGCAGGCATACTCACCCTTGCTGCAGACAAAGCCAAAAGCCTGAACTTGGTAAGTATGTGAGGAATAAGTATGTGAGAAAGCAAGAAAGGCCAACACAAGTTGATCAAAGCTTATTGTCCTTGTTCATTGAAGGTTATAGGGCAGGTGTCTTCAAACCTGGCCATTTTATGACTTGTGGACTTCAACTCCCAGAATTCCTCAGCCAGCGTGCCTGCTGAATAATTCTGGGAGTTGAAGTCCACAAGTCATAAAAGGGCCAAGTTTCAAGACCCCTGTTATAGGGTAATCAGCCATTATTTTCCAATAGTCCTTCAAGATATTTCAAGTTATCTTATCTCTGCTCTTACTGTATCTCAGTAATTTTATTAAAGGAGAAAAGAAGAGAAGAGCAGTACAATGTCTTTCGACTGGACTAGGAACCCATCATCTAAAAATAAGTCCCCTTTGCTCCTCCTTAGAGAGTGGGCACTCCCAGATACACTGACTGTTCTCATGATACTGAAATGGTTCCACCTCAGATGTGATTCATATTTTCCTCTCCTGTCACTTTGTCCATTTCTTTGGATGGGGATATTGCTGGCTGCTGTTCAGAAGCTCCTGTGGTAGTTCTGCAGCCTGCCTGTTGATCTATTTTCACACTTTTGTCTCAATTCTCTTCCTAACCTCAGTCAGCCAAAGAGTATGAAGTTTCTTCTTTGGCCTTATAATAGAAATTTAGGGCCTATTTGATGTGTATAACTCCAATCCTTGAGTCAGCCAACAAGTATGCCAGCATAACTTGTGCTGCTCTATCAGCTAAGCTCTATTTTGCTTCAGTTACAAGAACAGCAAGAGAAATTTTCCTCAAAAATATAATATGAGACATTTAAAGGACAATGGTTGAGGGATTGTTCTCCTTAAGGTGTGTTGGCAGAGGTGGGAGGGGCAGGCAAAGCAAGTTGCCCAGCTGAATTTATTTATGGCACAGGAATAAATTGCCAGGACTGCCTCAGGGAAAGACTGCTGGTGCTTTACAGCAGCAATTAATCACTTATGCATTTTTTTTTCATCACGGGGTCTTTTCCTCTTCTGAAAAAGTAGCAAAGCCATGTCCAAAAACAGCCTCACTGACAGTTGGGCAGGGCGAAGTGAGGGAGGGATCTCCATTGGATTGGGGAAGCTTCCCTCCAGAGACCACTAGTTGTTTTCCTAAACATTGGTTTAAAAAAGAAGTCTAGCAAAACTATTTCTGTATACATAAGAAAGCTATGTTTAGCACTTGGCAAAGGCTAGTAAAATCTTACTCAAGCAAAAGCCTCTCTTGCATCTAAGAGTCTGGTCTCCCCTGCAGTCCAAGACAAAAACAACACCGCAGGGCGTTGTCCAGAAGTAGGAAGCCTGCGACGACATCCAGAGTTGGTCTGTTCTCAGCCCCTGGATGCCCCATCAAGAACCTGTCAGCATATTAGTCACAGAACGAGATGTGTGTCAAGAGTAGATGGAACTCGCTGCTTTAAAAGTGGAACAGTTAAAAATGAACTTGGGCTGCGCCCACAGTTAGAACTGGGGATGAGAGAAAGATGGCAGAATGAGGACATGAGCTTAATAAAAGTTAGAGAGGCATATGGTACCGTGCCATAGTTAGTGAATACAGGTAGGTTCTCGACTTACAAGTGCAGCTGAGCACAAAACGTTTTGTGGCTAAGTGAGACTGTTGGTCAGTGAATTTTGCCATATTTTATGACCTTTCTTGCCTCAGCTGTTAAGTGAATCATTGCAGTTGTTCAGTCAGTAATGCAGTTATTAACTGAATCTGTCTCCCCCATTGATTTTGCTGGTCAGAAGGTGGCAAAAGGGGATCACATGACCCCAGGGACACTGCAACCGTCCTAAATATGAGTTGGTTGCCAAGCACCTGACTTTTGATGATGTGATTAAGTGTGAAAAATGGTCATAAGTCACTTTTTTCAGTGCTTTGGGAACTTTGAATGGTCATTAAATGAACCGTTGTTAAATCGAGGAGTACCTGTGTGAGCATTAGCATTTAATTTTTTTCCCAAAGAGCTTTTATTTCCTTATTCGTATCCTGCCTTTATTATGTTTACAAATAACTCAAGGTGGTAAACATCTCTCCTCCTCCTATTTTCCCTTCAACGACAACCCTGTGAAGTGAGTTGGGCTGAGAGAGAGAGCGGCTGGCCCAAAGTCACCCAGCTGGATTTTGTGGCTAACAGTCTCTGGCTTTCTTGCCTGGTGCCTTAATCACTAAACTACTTAACTCTCCCTCCAAAACTGAGCTTCTTCTTCATGGAGCTTCCGATATCTTAGTGTTTTAAAACATTTCCCTCCTTCGGTTCTCTCCCAAGCCCAAATATACAATCTGATTTCCTCTGCAGAGTAAATTATTCCAGGATTTGGAAAGCAACTGAATCGAGCATCATATGACTGAAAGATTTCTTGGGATCTCAGTGCCCTTGTTTACTTATCAATCTTTTCCCCATATGCCTCCTCTTGAAGGGGAATTTATTTGCAAAGCACTAAATATACCAAAGTATGTAAGCATATGTGGGAAATGGAAGTTGGGTGGTTTTGTTTTGAATGAAGGATGAGGGACACAACCATTGAACAATGTTGATGTAGCAAGGGAGAACAGGATTGCTATATTGGCTGTCTTTTATTCTCCAAGCCCTAACTCTGAACATTTACAGAGATGCCTAGTAGTATTTGCAAATGGTAGAGATCTGAAGATGTCTTGGGGAAAAAATGACTTCAGATTGAGCTGGAACATTTGTGAATGCTTGCAAAATAGAAAGACTAGCCATCTGGAAGCATCAGATGATTTTCATGCCATGTTGAATGGTTCCTCAACCTGAGCAGTAGAACTCTATCAGTCATCCTCTGTGACTTAAACAGCACTATTATCATCAGATGTATTCAGATGGGATTTCCTATCGGGTTTCAGATCTGAAAAAAGATGTCAACAGTACTTCATTCTTTTCCTAAAAGTGTCAGCATGAATATTTTTCTTTCAGGTGAAAGCTTGCCTTGTCATCTACGTTATCTGCATAGTGGTAGTGGCTGTGGTCAACATTTTCTATTTGATTGATTTATTCTACAATCCCCGTATCCAGTACATTCGATGCGATCCTCGGGATGATTTTTGTCAACTGCGGCATCAGATTGCAGTGAGTTGTCCTTGGGGCCATGTTTCTGTTTTCTTTGTGAAAATTATCGGAACATCCAGTGCTAATACAACTGGAAGACGTTGGTTTGAGTACTGGGAAGATTGTTTTCACTGGTAGAATATCGAATGCTCTCACTGAGTTAATTCAGACTGAATTTACACAGGGCACCTGTACCAATTCTACAAGAAACTCGATCTTCTGTGAAAAGGACATACTGTGGATTTTATTTATTTATTTACCGGTGGCACATTTCTGATTAGAACCAGCCCAAGCTTAGTGGACTCTGGCTACCCTGAAGGCACTCTTCAGACTTTCTGTAGTATCCATGATATGACTTTGTCACTAAAGCTATTTTGTACATTATTCACATCACAGACTGCATTTCTAAAAGCAGTCAAAGCCTGAACTAAGATGTGACTGAATTAAAGATAAGGTTAAATACACTACAAATAGTTAATAGGGTTACTGCTCATGTATTGAGGGGAGTCTGAGAGGGCCAACCTAGAGTTTACAGACATTGCAAGACTGTTCCAGTCCTAAATACAGTACTCCTGAGATTTCCAACAGAGATTGTTACATTTGAATTATATTGAATTACATTTCTCAATCTTTGAGAAGTTTTGTTTTGTGGAAAGATGGAATAAATGCTGAACTGTTTAATCATAATGCCAAGCGCCAGAGAAATCAGGAAATCCAGATAGTTCAAGTGGGTATAAAGATTTATTACAAGTTTAAGCTTTTTACAAGAATCTGAACTAACGGTCAAGGCAATTTGGCGAGAGATAAGGAATTCAAGGTGGGCTGAACTTGGGTGTCTTGTTTGACCCCCTCCCTCGGGCTCAGGTTGGTCATCTCCTATACATATATTGTGCATTTAACTTCATGCACAGAAGCTAAATGAGTTTCAACTGGATGGGGTCATCCAGTAATTGCTACTACCTCATTACTCATGGTTCCTGTGATTTTTGTTGCCATTGTAAAATCTGTGTGAGTGCTTCAAGAATTGGTCCTCAGCTCTATCTCTTAGCACCCTGCGGTTGGGCCAGAATGCCTTAAGAATGCCTTAAAATCAGTAAGACTTTAGTACTGCTTACTAAATCTCCTTCAGAAACATTTGGGGGGACAAGACTGACTATTCTTGAGTCTCTCTAAAGGGGAGAGCACAAACAATGCAGCCTCTTGTCCTTGATTTCCTGTTCTGGTTTTTAGGCCTGTTGCACGGCCATGCGTGGCATTGTCCTAGTTTTAACTTCCTTGGGATTCTTTGTTTGCATTTCCATGGCAGCCTTTGGATGCAAAGCAGTGTGTCGCCAAAACACATCTGTGGATTAGAAGGTAATTTGTTTTCATATGTTTTGATGGGGAGAGGAGGGTTAACGACAAGAGGATTAGTAAGGTCAAAGAATGGTGAAAGGGAGATGGGAGAGGGGTAGAGAGAGGACAAGAAGGACAGGTTAGGGATAAGTCACTAATACCCCGTTCTCTACCCCTAGCACAGGGTTGGACAATTATGGCAACTTTATAATCCGTGGACTTGCGTGGTTGGCTCAGGAATTCTGGGAGTTGAAGTCCACAGGTTGTAAAGTTGCCATACGTCCACTTTCCTGCTCTAGTAAGTACCAAGACAGGTCTCAGTTTCATACAGTTGAGATGAAAATCCAGTAGAACAAGCATCAATCAGCTGTGCTGTGAACCAACTCCATGTATGAATTTCAAGGTAAAGTAATAATGGAACAAAAATGAAGAAAACAAAAATATTTCAAGATGTATGAGAGATAGGAATACCTAGTTTCTGGAGTAATAGAAATAACCAAGATGGTGATTTGGGGACCATTTGAACATATTTAGATATATTTAGTCCTGTCCTTTCTAGAGATGTTGCTAAATCATCAGAATGTGAACTGGAAGTTTGAGTTGGTGTTTTAAGCTAAAAAAAAAATGTTGCTCAGCCCTGCCTTAACTTTTCAAGTTAAACCCAATAAATTGTGATGATTAAGCAAACCATGATTTTGCATGATTTGTATTTTTGTTTCCTTCACAGGCCATTGTTGTTTCAAAGCATTTTCCTAGTTCTAGTAAGGTCAGCCGAATATCTGAAGGGATTTACTGTCAAAACTTCAAGGTCCACCGCAGGGTTTCCCAAACAGTGAGGTGAGCCTCCCTTGGAGGGATGCAGATGGAGTCCAGGGAAGGTGCGGAGAACCTTTAAGTTGAACATTGTCACAATAAATTCACCTTACCCAAATTTTCATTGTATTGTTTGTATTGCTTATTTGTATTCAGTTTGATGCTTGAATTTTGTACATTTTTTAAATTTGTGTACGTTAATAAATGGAAGCATGATGACAAAGGTTTAGGAATCTCCGATCTAGACGAAATTTGAAGGAACTGTCCACAGCTGCCTAAATAATAATAATAATAATAATAATAATAATAATAATAATAATAATAATAATAATAATAATGTTGGAAGGGATCTTGGAGGTCATCTAGTCCAACCCCCTGCTCAGGCAGGAAACCCTATACCATTTTGGACAAATGGCTGTCCAGTCTCTTCTTAAAAACCTCCAGTGTTGGAGCATTCACCGCTTCTGGAGGCAGGTTGTTCCACTGGTTAATTGTTCTAATTATTAATTGTTAATTGAATTCTTCCTTAATAGCCTTGGAACTCCTCAATAGTTCAGACAATATAAATGGGCATGAAATTAACAAGTAGCTTGTCAATTTCTTCTCCAGCCATGGACAAGGGGAAAGCAGTAGGCTAGCAGTGTGAGGGCTCTTTTTGGAGTGAAGAGATTTCTGTTGCTGCAGGAATTTTTGGCAAGAGTAATCCTCACTTTTTGTTTTCACCATTTCATGACAGAGAAGTGAAGAAAACCACCGAGCACCTGCAAAGTACTTTTGAAGTTTTCCCAGAGTCTTCCCTTATCTCTAGCTTGGGGCCCATCCGAATGTCTCAAAGTTAACTTGAAAATGATCTGTGATCATTTTCAAACCTGCTTGTTTAAGAATTCTGAGAATTGGGAGTGAAGGTATAACCCCCACCCAATCTTCTCTAATGTCGTAAGTTGGAAACGTGTCAAATTATTTTTCCTCTTCTTACAACAGCCTTCATTCACATTCTGTAGAACTACAGTATTAGAAACTACACACAAATCATTTTAGGGCCCCCCCACAGGTAGAATTTATACCACTTGGCAATTTGTATCAGGATTATCTCTGAACATCTTTAATCCCATGACGGCTTCTCTGCTTAGTAGTTGAGCCTACTGACGTCTGGCTTTAGTGAACTTAAAACCAGAGGGAAGATGAGATGCTATTGTGGTTTAATGCTGCAGTTCTGTAGGGCTTGAGCATCGTCTGTTTCCCCATCTCGTGACTTCCTCACTCTGCCTTCTGCTCTTGCCTGGCATCTTCATCTGTGGGTCTGGTCTTTCAAAAGGAAAGATGGCTTGATGGGTTTTCAATTTCCTGCTCAGAGGGATTGTTGGGATTTTTTTTTCTTTTTGCAACCATCAAACTCTTGAATGTAAAGTTAAATGGGTAAATGTATAGATGAGGAAAGGGCCTTTATAAGGCAGCCTTATGAATCTAAATTTATTTCCCTTGAACATATTGTTGCTTCAGGACTCAGGGCAGCTGGAATATGATAGCAATTTTCATTCCCTGTTCTCAGAATATCTGTGTCAGCATCTATGAAGCCAATGGCCGGTCATCTTCCAGACTGTTCTTATGGGAATGGAGAATGAAAAAAAAAATAGTAATGTCTGCCAATATCTTTGCTTTACTTTCAAATGTACTGCAGCTGAGCTGAAAATATTAAAACTGAGTTCTTGAGTGCGGCCAGTTTGATAAGATCACAATTCTGCTTTTCAAATGGAGCAGAGTCCTCATGAGAAAGTGGCCATAAGGTCATTTTTTCCATATCCTGTCCTTGGGGATAGTAGAGAACAAGTCACGTCCTTCTTCTATATCTCTCTCCCCGCTTCTTGGAACTTAAGATCTTGATATATTCTCCTATACTCAGATTTATTTATTTATTTATTTTGCTCAACATAACTCGTTCTTTCAACCTCTTTGGAAAATTTAGCTCCCAACCTCTTGATCAAACTTCCTCTGAACCTTGCCTAATTTGTCTGAGTCCTTCTTAGGCCTAAAAACCACATGTTAAATCTACTCCTGCCCTTCCTCTAAGTCAGTGGTTCTCAACCTTTTTAATGCCGCGACCCCCAACCGGTCGTAAGTCGAGGACTACTCAACCGGTCGTAAGTCGAGGACTACTCAACTGGTGCAGCACCGTTTGCAGAATGGGACTTTTGGCGGGCTCAGCAGTGCAGAGACAGCCTGGACAATTCCTATTGGCTTTTGAAAGCCAATAGAATTAGATTCTATTCAAGAGAGTCTATTCTATTGGCTTTCAAAAGCCAATAGAATAAAAGGGAGTAGCACAGCTAAGGAAAAGGGGGAAAAAGTGGCAGACTGCGTTGTTTGGCAACCCCCGTGAAATGGTTGTTCGACCCCAAATGGGGTCCCGACCCACAGGTTGAGAACCACTGCTCTAAGTGGTAATTTATGCTCAAAACAGAACTGGTAAGATCAGTTGCTTGGATTGGGTGTTTCCAGATTGCAAGCTGAAGATGCTGGCCTCAGTTTTTAGACCTTACAAGGAAAAGGAAGAATTTCCTTCTCACTGCTATTCCCTTTCGCCTTGCTTGCTGGAGAGGCTACAGAAGACAACTCACAATCGGGCTAAAAAGAGAAAAGCAACAACAGCATGCTCCAAAATTGATTTTTGAGTGGTGTAAGCCTTATGCAAAGGCATAACCTCTCTGCTGTTTATTAAAGTTACCAGATTCTGTTTCAGGCTTCCATATAAATCTGGAAAAATAAATGCTTCTGCTTTCAGAATTAGATTAATTTTAAAAAGCAGATTCTCTGAATAAGATTTGAACAACCCCAGGGAGATTTAAGGCATCTTAAATATAAACAACTGTAATTGCCGCAAAGACCTTGGTCATGTCATCATGCTTCTGGCCACCTGGGGTTTTCAGGCAGCTGCGGTGGCTTGATTTTGTACCCTTTCTTGTTTGAGGAAAGCACAGCAGCACACAATGCACACCAAAAGAAATTTATCAGCTCACTATTTTGAACCATGTTTTTAAATCATGCCATTACAGCTTGAAAGAAAAAAAAACACACTGAAATTCAACTCTTCTTGTATTTATTTTCAGAATAGCAACTTTTTATCTAATTGGAAGCTTCTTTCTTGGGGATTTGTTTCAAACATGCTACGATTGAGCAAGGCATTAACCCATGGTTTTCTGAATAAATATGGCTGCCTGGGCTAGCAAGGCAGCACCTTGAAGCATCAAGTAACTACCCTGAGCCATAAAGTAACCAACTATATTTTAGCTTAGTGTTTATATGATCCCAGCCACATAATAAACAGGGATGAGGTGATTAGTACTTTCAAACCAGACAGAAGAATAAAACAGACAAAGAACCAAACCGAGTCTATTAAGTCACATGGAGGACAAAATAGTAGAGTGGTACCATGTATGTTACCCAAGCAGTCTCCACAGTATAGGAAAGTCTTATATCTACAGAAATAAACCCCAATTTTTGGCAGAGATGGCAAAATTGACTGTTTTGATTAAAGAAAAGAATACAAGTACCTCCGTTTCTACATGAAGATCGCTTCTGGACTATGTGCTTGAGGTGGAAAATGAAATTTTGATTTTCAGTTTCACTGATTAGACTGATTTGTTGCTACAGAAATGGCTTGTTTTTACTATTGTGAAAAGTAAAAAGTCGAGGCTCAACGTTAATGCTCTATTCCAGGGCTTTTCAACCAGTGGTACGGGTACCACTTGTGGTACATTGGCACCTGGCAGGTGGTACGCGACCATCCTAGAAAAGTGGTAGCGGGGGAGGGGAATGAGCTGAACCAGTGGCAGCACCGTACAAACCTGAGCGAGAGATGGCTGGAGCTGCAGGCTGTCAGGGCTCAGCGGAAGTGCCAGGATCAGCGCCAGGCTCCAGCTGGAGCTCAGCGCTGATCCTGGCGCTTCTGAGCCCAGAAGAAGCGCCGATCAGTTGGAATGTTGCAGCATCTCCAGGTTCTTGTGATTTACATTCAGATGCCTGGTAACTGATTCATATTTATGACAGTCACAGTGTCCAAAGGTCATGTGAAGTGACCAAAACCTGCTGCAACTACCCAGCAGACAGGGGGAATAAAAACCAAATACCCCCCCACCCCACCCCAGCTGCCAATCCTCAACAGAAATGCTCACAACAATGAAAACCTCAGACAGGAGGAAGAGCGCCACCGGGTGGGCAGGCAGGTGTCTTGCTTGGCTGTGGCTTGGAGGGCACTATTTTCAGTGCCATTGTAACTTCAAACAGTCACTAAGCAAACTGTTGTAAGTCGAGGACTACCTGTACTTTATCACTTTTTTCCTTTTTGGGGGGGGGGTCATCAAGTTTTTGACACCTTGCTAGGTGACTGGTGGTACTCGGATGTTGCCATATCCCAAAAGTGGTACAATGGGTGAAAAGGTTGAAAAGCCCTGCTCTATTCTACTGCAACGGGGGAAGTCGGAAGTCAATCTCTTTTTTTTCCCCCTCCATTTCCTTCACTTTCTTCTCCCTTTTTCCTCCCCATTATGTCCTATTTGCTTTGTATTTTACTTTATACCTTAATAAAATGTTAAAAGAAGGAAGGAAGGGAGGGAGGGAGGGAGGGAGGGAGGGAGGGAGGGAGGGAGGGAGGGAAGGAAGGAAGGAAGGCCATCAAACTAGAACTCAATTTAAAAACGTATATAGACTGGCACTATTATACAGATCTTCCCACTACTCCAGCTTTCTTCAAACCTTTGCAACATTACTAATATACTACCTATTTATATTACCATTATCTATCAACCAATATTAAATTTGTGTTTTGTACATGTAGTTAATTACATAATAGCAGATTCATCCAACTGTCATCTCATATATGGAGATCAAGTCAAGTCTCCTAATGGTTGCAATACCGCAAGAGATAGGCAAACAACAACGTAACGTATACACACAATCTGCTATGATCTCAGCCAGCTCAGCATTTTTAGCAACCACTTGCTCTTTATGGCAAGAAGGTGTTTTCAGCACTCACAGAACAATTGGAATAGCAGAGATGTAGCTTAAATGGAAGGTATTGGAGGAATTAGTTATAATGCATTAGACCTGCATGAATCTGTGATT